GCTATGGGGGAGCCCGAAGATCAGCGCAAAAGGTAGAAGTCTGATAACGTTTGCTTCAGACAACGAGCTGTGCTTGTTAAATGATGGCAGCCCAACATTTTTACGTGGCCCTTGGATACAGCAGTTGCCTTGACTTGGCTTTTGTTTCTCGAGGTCTCATCAGATGTGCCGAATGGTTTGCGGACATAGAAACACATGGGAGCGACCACATTCCAACATACCTCAATATCAGAGGATTATCACCTTGCAAGATACGCGAAACTATCCAAAGAGTGGACTGGATCAAGTTTGAATCTCTCATGGAAGAAAGCCGTCAAGAGAACACCTCATTTGACTTAGAATAGGTGGCCAAGTCCACAGTGCAAGACACAGTGTGCACCCTCACATGCTCTTCGAGAGTAACGAAATTTGACGTGGAACTAGACCGACTTCGGGCTCTCTGACGGCGTGCGGAATGAAGGTACCGACGCACGAAAGCAATCGACTATTTACGAATCGCTAGACGACTTCAGAAGAAGATACAACGCCGCATAAACAAGCTAGAGTCACAAGGTCGGGCAGCCTTCTGCGCGTCGTTAGATCCTCGCAAGCCTTTATCACACTTGTGGAGGACAATAAGAGGGCTCCGGACAGCTCCCATTCGGCGGTCTCCATTCAAGGCTCTAGCCCTCTCTCAACAGAGATCGGAGGTCGACGTGGCAGAAGAGTTCTGTGCCAACTTATCTGGTCAACTCGCAGATCCCAACATCTCCACGCTCTCACGTGGTGGCACGACATCACACGATTACCACATGCACCATTTTTTTCTATTTATGAGCTTAAAGCAGCACTGGCTTTGTGTAGACGGACATCAGCACCCGAACCTGACGGAACATCATACAGAGCACTGTGTCACCTTTGTGAGTGTGCGAGGAGTGCCCTGCTCGATATACAACGATTCGTGGCGAGAGGGCACCCTCCCAATTAACTGGAAGACCAGCCGTTTGGTTCCATTACTGAAGCCTGGCAAGTCACCATTGGTGCTCACATCATTCCGCCCTATTGCAGTGGCTAGTTGCTTGGGCAAAGTGATAGAGAGGATGATACTTGGACGGCTAGAATGGTTCCTGGAGCATCACAACATCTACACGGACGCTATGACGGGATTTCGCCGTGGCCGGTCATCAAGTGATAGCGTCATAGACCTGGTTAGCTACGTGCAAAACGAAAAAGGCCGTAAGCGCCTCTGTGCTTCTTTATTTCTTGGTGTTAAAGGGGCGTACGATAACGTCACACATAAAGCTGTCCTCACCGCTCTCAAGGAGGTAGGAGTGGGTGGTCGGATGTTTCAGTGGCTACGCAGCTATCTCTCTGAGCGATCCTTTTTCGTGAGAACCGAGGATGGTGACACTTCGCTACATTACAGCCACCGTGGTGTTCCCCAGGGTGGCATACTTAGCCCTGTACTATTCAATCTGACGCTAATAGCTCTCAATGAGCATTTGCCAAGTACTGTCAGATTGTCAATGTATGCGGACGACATCTGCGTTTTGACGTCTGCAGTAACACGTCTACAGCTGCAAGCGCGAATTCAGAGAGCTGCCACTCAAGTTGCTATTTACCTCCGTCAAAGAGGTCTGGAAATTTCCTCTGAGAAATGTGCACTTGTGGCATTTAAGCGCAAACCAATGCAGAACTACAGCGTTCTGATTAACAGCGAAAGGATACGTCACCTCCGATCATACAAGTTCCTAGGTGTTATAATTGACAGAGACCTCTCATAGAGCTCACATGTATCATACATGAAAAGATAGATATGTGGGGTTTAACGTCCCAAAACCACCATATGATTATGAGAGACGCCGTAGTGGAGGGCTGCGGAGATTTCGACCACCTGGGGTTCTTTAACGTGCACCCAAATCTGAGCACACGGGCCTACAACATTTCCGCCTCCATCGGAAATGCAGCCGCCGCAGCCGGTATTTGAACCCGCGACCTGCGGGTCAGTAGCCGAGTACCTTAGCCACTAGACCACCGCGGCGGGGCGTCATACATGAAAAGGTGATTGACAGGCATCTGTCATTTGTTCAAGTTCTTCGCTGGAGAGAACTGGGGAATGTCCACAACTGCTATGTTGCGACTAGACAGGATTGTTTTCCTTGGATTCCTTCGGTACAGCCTACCTAGCTGTGTTAACCAACGCAAGTAAAACAAGCATACGAATGCTTCAAAGTGTCCAGGCTCAAGCACTCTGGATATGTTTAGGCTTGCCCCAAAGTGCGTCAACAGTGGCAACTATCGCCATCACAAGGGACAACCTCATCAAGACCCAAATTAATGTGGAAGTGCTGAGGACGCATATACGACACCTTGCTCGAACTCCTCGACATCACCTAGCCTCTCTACCAGTGGTCCGACCATGCACATCTTACTGCAAAACAGTGACCGCACATGGTGAGTCGATCCCAACTTCGTTCTCTCCTGCCGCTAGACCTGTGATTCCGCCATGGTGCCTCGCTCAACCAATGATTAATATTACCATACCTGGCGTCCAGAAAAAGGCCAATTTGTCGTCACCGGCTATTAAACAGCTCACACTACTTCTCTTGTATGAGAAATACCAAGACTCCACACATATATACACTGACGAATCGGTTCAGCCGGACAGCTCTACAGGAGCAGTAGTGATAGCAAGGTTTGCCACGACAATTAAATTCAAGACATCTCACGCAACAACAACAACGGCAGCAGAATTGACAGCACTTTATGCCGCATTACAATTTGTAGTTGATCAACCTACACGTAAGTGGACTATTTTCTGCGACTCGAAGGCAACACTGCAGTCTCTACTATCAGCCTTACGCCGTGGACCACACGAGCAGCTGGTACTAGAGATAGCAGAGGTTATACACCACCTGACTGAGAAAGGGCACCAAATTACATTTCAGTGGTTACCCAGTCACTGCGGAATCATCGGCAATGAACGGGCCAATCAAGCTGTCCGCTCAGCCCACACAGAAGATCATAAACTACGACTAACACTTTCTAGGACAGATGCTGCACGAAAGCTCCGCAAGCTTGCTCGCCAGCAAACCACATCACATTGGAATCAGCCACACTTCAAGCATGCCCGACTGTACTCGCTTGACCCTACGCTAAGTCTTCAAGTCCCGTCGAGGCTTTGCCGAGGAGACCATACCCTGTTATGTAGGCTGTGGTTGGGCGTTTCGTTTACCAACGCCTACGCTTTCCGCATTGGGATGGCCGACACCGCAGCCTGTGGCCACTGTGGCAAAGAAGAAACGACCGAACATATCCTTTGTGACTGCCTAGCGTATAGTAAACAACGACTATGCATTCGCAAGGAACTCAGCAAATTAGATAATCAACCTCTGTCGGAGCAAGGAATTCTACAATATCGACAAGATGCAACTTCACAGAAGAAGGCCATGAAAGCGCTATTACACTTTTTGCGATCGACCGGCCTTACTGAACGGTTGTAGCTAGGACGCCCTTCCCGTGTGTGTTTTCGTTTTCTTAAGAGTGCGCGTGCGTTTTTTTCCCTCTATATACCCCCTCTTTCTTGCCCCTACTTCGCCGCCCCCAGCACTGGGTAGCAAACCAGATGCCAATATATGGTTAACCTCCCGGCCTTTCCTTTCTCACTCACTCTCTCTCTCTCTCTCTCCCAGTGGGACGACAATATGAAGATACAGACCAAACAGTTGACATGACACAAAACTATGTCTATAGAAAAGCACACTCGAGTAATAAATGTAGAATTGTCTTTACTTCCTCGTCCATACGTTTCTTTCTGTGTGTTTACTTAAGCAATCTTACTTGTAAAGTGCCACTTCTGTGTCAATATACATAATTATACGTTGGTATAATTCAACGTGCCAATACTAGAGTTACACTGCAGACATCCTTGTATTGAAGGAATTCGATGGCGCAATCGAGAAGCAGCCATTCAGCATTAACTCATGCCCTCACTAACATCACTCTTCTCACACTTTTATGTCATCACTTCATTTACCGCTATAAAGCACCCTCTGTTTGTCCCAAAACTCACTTTCATGCTCCCCAAATCGTTTCTCATTGTCACATAGGGAAGTGTGACGCTGAGAAACGATTTGACATTGAGGCCGCACTTATACCCATGGCTACTGAAGTTGCTGTGGTTCCTGTGGTCACAAACTCGGTCACGAAAGTGAATCCCGGCAGCCGTGGCTGCATTTTCAATGGCGATGAAAAGTCTGTAGGCCCATGTGCTCAGATTTGGGTGCACGTTAAAGAATCCCAGGTGGTCAAAATTTCTGGAGCACTCCACTACGGCGTCTCTTATATTCATATGGTAGTTTTGGGAGCCCACATATCAATTATTCTTCAAACAATCTTGTGGTCACAACATACACAAACGTTTGAATACCATGTAGGCCCTGTAGCATAAATGCTTCAAATTCCTTGATCAAGAAAACCGATTCTTTTGCCTTTTTCTGAACTGGAGAGCAATTTCACATATTGAGTTCCTCGTCACATAAACGTACGCATGCATGCGAAAGCATTCATCACCAAACACTGACTGCTTCAAGTGTTTGAGACACTCGTGTTGTTTGGCTTATTAGTGATATCTTTGTTTTGTTTTTCAGCCTGTTTCTCCTCTGCAGCTTATTCTAAAAAACAAGAATCCTCGCCAAATAAACAATATTTAATACATAAACCACACCATCGTGTTCAGAATTCATTTATAAGAGTAAAGAGCTATTTTACAGTGTACTGCTCTTCCCATGCATGTACAATGATTGGCGATGGTCTACACAGAGCTTTTGTGCAGATATGCCAACTCTATAAGCTGACATATTTGTTCAGGTTCTTTTCAATTTATCAATATTTGTTGTTGCAGTTCAAGTATTGTTTGTATTGAAACTTAAATGATTTGGGATTGCACTTAGTAAAAGTCCACATAGCTAACTTGGTGCAGCGAGAAGCAAGACAGAAAAATTTTCACGGCACTGACCAGGTACTGCCAACTGAATGTTTATTATTTGACCCAGATATTTTCAGGAGCACAGAAAGGTGAGGCGAAAAACAAGGCCGCCATCATCACCTATTATTCGCAATGACGTCACTAAGATATACGAACTTCTTTTTGAATTAAACTCGGAGTTGCTTTTGCATAGACTTTTTACAAGCAACATGTGAGCTGAAATAATGTTTATTTCAAAGTTTAATTTCATGTTTATTTATCTCAATGTCTATCTTGCGTGGGTGTTTTTCACATACCAATCAATCCGATCTCAACGTTTATTTTAAAAATTTAATAAAAAACTGATGCTTGCGTGAAAGTTTGTGTACGATAAAAAAACACCTTATTTGCGTGAATGAGTGAGCGAAGTTGGATAAGGTACAGTGAATACACAAAAACTGTCCTTTAAACTTCCTCTTCCGCTATACAGCAGACCATTTAGGTACCTTACATACGTCAGCAAAACTTTGTTTTTCACTCACGTCTTTCTCTCTTTCTCTCTCTCTTTCTCTCTCTCTCTCTCTTTCAAATTAGCCTATGCTTTTATTGAAATACTTCGTAAGGTGACGTACAGCAAAAAGTTTGAGCAGAACAAACGCCCACTAATGACATAGCTAGTGTATAATTGCACTAAATTAGAGCCACAGGTTATGTGTCCTTTATATTAGGTCAGAAAAAAAGCTCCTAACTGCAGCGGTAGTTTGCACGGAAGGCTTACACAAGAAATTGGTAGCTTGCCTCCAGCAAAACCCTAAATAAAATGAAAGAGAATTAGTCGGAATATTAGAGCCCGTCAACGAAAAGAGTGGAGTAATTTGTTCTTCGAGGCTCTCGTTGAAAAAGCTTCAACGTCATCTTAGACAAATATTCTGCGAAATCCTAGACAAACAAGAGCAAAGTTGTGTTCCCTTTAAAATTTAGGCATAGTATACAAGTTCGAGTTCATCGGCCAGGCCCTGCAGGAAGCCATTTTTGCTATTCCTTCCACTTCCTCCTTCTAGTTCTCTTCAGCCTCTTCATGTGTGTCGTTTTCTTCGCCAGACCCTCCGAGCTTCTTTTTCAGGAACTTTTTTGTCAGATCAGCTGCCTTGGATTTGATGACAACTTTCGCAGTCTTCCATACAGCCTTCCCGACTTCCTTCGCAGTGTTCCCGATGACCTTCCCAGCTTCCTTCAGAACTTTTTTTGTGTTCTTCCATAGATTCTTGAAGAAGTATTCGTTCTGCGTACAAAATTTACAAACGGCTTTCACCTAAATTTCAAAAACACTCATAACCAATGCACAAATGAAATATTGTACATTGCTAACAGCAGCATATGTTCGCGAGTCTAAAAGATCTGCGAATCAGATATAGGTGACTTCTCCGTTTATACAAAAAACAGCGAATTTAGGATTAGTTAGTATACCTGAAAAAATAATTCAGTGAAGTCAAATATATTTCTATGTCTAAATCGAAAGAATTTACCCCAAACAATACGTAGCCTACTGAGCTTCTTGAAGACAACAAGCTGACCTATTATGCCTGCTGACACCCTTTTCAAATCAATGCCAACTAAGATAAGAAATATTGTATTTGCTGTGTTAGCTTGAAATGCACACGTTGGTGGACGCCCATTCAGTGATTATTACGCTATTCGCAATATTCAGTGATTGATAACTTCCTGCCTTCTATTTGCCCCTTTCCAGTGTATCGAGCAGAGCCACCGCCTGGTGGCCACTGGCTGAAGCGTGCCTACTGTGAATTGCTCCTTGTGTTGTCTGCAGGCCACATAAGACTAGCATGCACGCGTACGTTATGTTTGTTTTCAAAGGGCACCTCATGCCACTTTTTTGGCGCAAGTTCAACTGCTTGTACACTTTCTGGTGCAATTGGAATATAGGTTTCAGCTTGTTTGAGTGTGTATGATCTGTATAGAATGAGTTGGTGCACTTGCCGAGAGTGCTGTGTATCATTGTTGTACCCTCCATTCGCCAAAGTCATTGCGGTCTTGGTGTCGCTTTGTAGTTGAAAAGCATGTTAAAGTACTCTCGGCGTTGTCTCAAACATGAGAAGTAATAAATATTGTGTGAATTTTACGTTTTAGCTACTCGATGATGAACCGAATTTAGCATTGTTGTTAGGTTAGGTGTCTAGCGACGGCAATGTTGCTTTTCGGTTATGCGGTGAGCCTAATTGTGCTTAGGATAACCTTTTATAGTACGGTCCTTGTCCCACTATACCGAAATATTTCTGCCTTGAAAATTGCGACACTTTCGTAATTAAATAATTCTTTCTAAAGAGCAGAAAATGAAATTACTCTGATGTGATTAAACTTGAGTCACCATGCACAATTCTAACACCAGACGAAATATATACAGTCATACACGTGGCTTGGATTTGTGTTCGCTTTAAAGAATCCACGTAGTCGAAAGTATTTCAGATGGTGTGCATCACACTTATTTTGTATAGTTGACGCCAAATGCCATTTTTACATTATCTTCAGCACTCTTCTGGCATGGTTATAGACAGATGGAAAGAGATGATACTATTCGCTTGAAAAAATACATTTGTCCCATGAAATAATCGAACCTTTGTTGCATCACTGTAATGCAAACAATCAATTGAAGACAGCTACGCGTGGTACTGTTACCTTTTCGTACTAATGTATCAGTAAAAACAAAGTTTCTAGAGTGCTGTCAATCACGTAGCCTTCCTCAATAAGCTTATCAACTATCCGACGTTCACTTCATTAAGAATTGTACAAGAAATATTCCGGATACGTATTTGCTGCGATTTTGGCGGATTGCCCGAGAATGTGGGATTTCTTTCGTTTCTTCTTTAGTATAGAAGACCAGAATGCACGAAAAATGAATTCAGTCAAGAAACCGTAATGCGTAGTCGACGGAACACAAGCTCAACACTTAAAACAAATGAAAAACAAGAAACGTCGCGCTGGGCGACTGCCTGTGCGAGCGCACAGGCAATCGCCGAGCGTGACCATCTCTTTAATTGCTATATAGATTGCGTTTCTCTCACAACAATAGTAACGTTCGGTGCACTTCATGCATTCATTCGGCAATGAACAGTGTATATATTGCAAGTAGGCAGCAGTTAACGCATTTTATTCACCGACAATTGGCTCATACCGCTTAGAAAAAAAAAGTACAACAGGGTACTGACGCATGCGCGCCGCCGGCCGCCTATACACTAGCGCCGGGACAATGCTGCCCTCTATAATCCATCCTTGGGGCGAATACAGGCTACTTGTACACATAAAAGAACAGGTGCCAACCTCTTGAACTTCCACATCTACACAGGCAGTAAGAGGTGAAGACTACTACAACTGCGTGTATGTCGTGGTGCGTGGCCTATAGCTGAACAGGCCTACAATCCAATGACCAATACGCAACCCACGTCAAAATTGTGTGGGTATCGGGCTGTCAAAAAGAATTATTCTGAAGGCTTGTCTGTTTGCACCGCATTGTCAATCAATCATCTTGGGCTAATTCGTCTTGTGTAGGTCACTAGCATGTAAAACTGGTGTCACAAGGGCTAGTATGATTGCAATTGCGGTCTATCCGCCGTAGGCTCGACTGACATCAGGTGCTGCGACATCGTTACATTTAGTCACGATCAGGCCCGATTGGTATTAAAGCGATAGCAGCTTCCTCATCGAGATCTTGCATCGTAATCGAGATTTCGTTGGCTAGTGCATCAAACCTAATCAAGATTCGGCTGTGCCATGTAGCAGCGACGTACACCGTGATGATGATCAACCTTAATTTGTATCGGTCCTGATCAGGACAATTCATTTATTTCCCGCTGTGTCTGGGTTTTTTCCCAAAAAAACGCGCCACTTCTTTTAGCTTCTGTTATGATGATAATTTGCCTGTTATCTTGGCATTATGTCAGAACTCTGACTCACAGCGAAGGGGTCGAGATATTTATCTACTTTAGTCAGGAAGCGGGGTTAACCGGAGCACCAAAATTGGAAGACCTAATTGTGAGGACAGACTAATTTGACCATTCGCTTGAGTTTATGCATCCTTTTTCTCATTATTTTTTCTGATACTGAGTTTATGCATCCTTTTTCTCATTATTTTTTCTGATACTAACACTCTATGAGTAGGTCAACTATGAGTGCCTTTCAGATGAAACAAACACGTCAGAAATTAACAGCATTGAAAGACTCTTGAGTAGTACAATGACAATCTTACAAATAATGTAGGTGCTACAATCTCTTGCTTGAAAGTTCCTTCTAGAGCGTTGTAATATTGTTTTATTTTCAGTACCTCAACAGTCCATAACATAAATACATACCGCTAAGCAGCTCCCTCTTACACAATGCCTCAATGGAGGCCTGTAAGCTTTTTTTTTTTAAATGATAAACAAGTATTTCAGCGAATAATTTTTTTTACCTCTATACAATGTAAACGCCCAAATGCAAAGTAATGTTCACTGCAGTAAGGTTGTGTTTAAACATTTTTCAATAGCAAAGGAGAAAGTAAAAGATACGCAATTCATGCTCAGGTTTTTGTTCTTTCAGGCGCGACAACATTGGCTCCGAGCGCCACAGTAGGAAATGCTGTTGGCTCGCCTGAGCACTCCGTTTACCTCATCTGCAGCATGCTCCAATTGTTGCGCAGTGTCTCGCAGTCCTTGAGAAATGGCGTGCAACGCTTTATCCATATAGACAGCTGTCAAGTTCAGACTGCGCGAACCGTCGTCATTTGCAACTTCCAGTGTCTGCTGGTTCTTTTCCGTGTCGGAAGAATAAGCTGCGAGTAGAAATGTGCGGTTGGATTGAAATAGTGACGGTAGTTTTACATTACGCATCCCGTGCAGATGACTTGGCGGTTCGGTAGTATTGCCATCTTGCAATAGAAGGGGTACAGTTTTTGTAATATCTCAAGCGTTGCATGTGAAAATCAAATGCTAACACCTATTCCAAATCCCAATCGTTTCAGGGCTATGTGAGCACTCAATGTACTTCGTAAAAACGTTCCTGCAACTGCGCTTAATATATTAAAGGTTCCTATTACAGCATGTAATATTGTGTGGAAGAATATAGAAAACTAGAAGGGGGGTGCGAAACGGAGAGTAATGGTAAAAAGGAAGAAAAATGGGGAGAGTTGTTGATAAAGAATTGCACATATAAGTATTAAAGTGTGGCATATCAACGAGATGGCGTGAAAGCAGCTACTAAGGGGGAAGAAAAGGCCACTAGCTGAGACGGCACGCAAGTCTTAGCACAACTAGTTTGTAGCAGCCCCACTTTTCAAGACGATAGTCTTTCTTGGAGACCTTCAACGCAGAACTTTTGGCCTGTCTGTCTGTCTGTCTGTCTGTACATTTGTCTGTTTATTCATACTTAACGGCACCGGGTACTTGAAACGGCATTAGCCAATACCTCAAACGCTCGACCCCATTCGCAGCACCCACCAATGTTGCTCAAGGTTAAGCGTTTGTACTTGTGCGATCGCCAATTAAAAGGCAATTATTGCGTATACCTGGGGTACCATAACAACCCGTATATATTCAGCATGTGTGTCTTTCACTAGAAAAGGCATACATAAGTAACTCTAAGGCTCATAGCGCATATGACACTACGCTGACCATGCAACGCTTGCAAGATATGGCGAGTGTTTTGAAATCTTTGCTAAGACGAGACGTTGGTGGCACCTACCCGTCGCCTTGCGTTCTACACCTTATCACCTCTGAGACGGGCGCGCACACCCGTCTCAGAGCCGCATGCTTTGTTTTCCAAGAAAACTGCCAGATGGCGCTCATGACGTGACTTGATGTGCTCGTTCGCCTCCGCTGCACGCTCGAGGCACTCTAACGCAGCGCCTCCAGAATACCATTCACCAATTTTCTTGCGCAGAACATCAAATAAATGTTTTGTTCACTCTCTCCACACCCAAGACTATCGTCATTCGACGACATTCGCAGATTACACGCAGATATGGGGCCAATTTTTTCCTTTCAATACAATGAAATGAGTCGCTAAAACATGGCGAGAAAATGATTGGTATGCACAGCCTGCCTTAATTCGCCACAAATATTCTATAATGTGTTCTAGTGGTAGCAGATTTAGTCAAAGAGGAAATATCTGCGAAATTTCATCGTTCTAAACAGGTAGGTAACGGGACCACCAGCGCACACAAAGAAACACGCCCCCCCACACACACAGAACAATGATTCACCATGGCATGCATTACGCGCTCATCAAATCTAGAGTTAGGCAGAGATAAACTCTCAGACCAATCTTTGTATGATTACGCGATGATAGGGACTGGTCTCCGCCATGACTGCGGTCACTGCAACGAATCGGCTGCGTCTGCGGCGTTGTCGCTTGGTGGCGGCAAACATCAGCGATGACCCGCCGACCAGCTTAGGGTTACTCGGCAAGCCGAAGATGCTGCCTGAGTCAAATAACTTCAATCATTCAATCAATCAAAGAATAAATAAATAAATAAATAAATAGTTAAATAAATCAACCAATCAACCAATTAATCAATCTTTTTGTGTCTATTTCACAAGCATACAGAAAAGCGGCGACTAAACGCTGTCTTCCGATATCTGTCTTCCGACTACGCCACCGCCATCATTTACAAGTGCTCGCGGAAGCACAGTGACAGTTTGATTCACGTATATTTGAAAAATATAATTACAAAAATGATAAATTTTTGTGAAAAACGGTAAGTCATTTGGAAACAAAGACTCTAGGAAGATAAAAACAAGAAGCTTAAAAATAGTAAAAGATAATCGAAAATTAAAGAGTATATACGCATTGCAACATTAGCGTTTATAAATTGCAAGCGTAATTTGCCTGAATAACAACAAAACAGACTAAAATTTTCTATGTGTAATGATTGAGGAGGAGAGGCATGGTATGGTAGAAGCGTCGCATTAGACTTCTAGACTTCATTTGAGGCACCGTAATTATCACCCTTGAGGAAGGAGAAGCGACAGGAGTTGGTCGTTTCTCCCCCCGCCCATGCCTAAGGAAACTATCAGACTTTAAACAACGTTCATTCAACCATTGATTCATTCATTCGTTCGTATTTGCCCAGCTTGAATAAATGCCAAACACTTTACCGCAGATGGCGACGCATCCAATCAGGCAGAGTAAGGATATACTTTGCTTCATGACGTCTGCAAAAAAGTAATAAGACGGAACAGTTGACGATAATTTTACATGGTGTTCAATGTTCGTAGAAGAGCTACAAAGCTTTTTTAACTCTAACTATATAGAGAAAACGGGTTCAATCAAGTTTATTGTCATTTTCGTTATTTCTTGGAATATTTTTGTTTTACAAAGCTACTCACATCTACTACGGTAGAACACAGGCTACGATGCTCTGCTGCTGATGCATACAGGAAAGATTTTACTCGGGTGCGGCGGTCAATTTTTGGGGCAGGTGAAATAGATGAAGTGTGCTGTGCGAAGTGCTGTGCGAAGTCAGTGTATGTTCAAAACACCACATAGTCAAAATTTCTGGAACCCTCCACTACAGCATCTCTCATAGTAACGTGATTTTAAAACGTAAAGCATCAGATATAATATTGCGAAGCTACTCATGGCAACTTATTAGATAATCAATAGGATTACATAAAGTAAAAAGAAACAGTGGTTATTGAAACTTCAGGTTCTTTCAGTAAAATTTATTTTCGCCTATTTATGTACATGTCTGTATGAATTTGCTAACGCACATGACTAAGAGTTGCTGGTAGAAACTCAAGATACCTTTTCCTTTTCTGAAGTGAGCTGATGGAAAATTTAGTGTTGCACCTTCTGTTTTTTTTAACTGTATAATATCTATCACGTGACACTATGGGACAAAGGTGAGAAATATACACACAACAGCAAATTTGCTATCTGATTATTAGCAAAAAAGGGAGCGTCATGGAGACAGTCACGCGTTATGGGGACAATGAGCGCAAAAACAAATAACTGAGTATGGATGCCACAAGAAAGTATGAAATTTAAATTTTCTTGCTAAACGAACGCATGAAGAGATGGGTGGCCTTTGCCTTGCGCATGGCAGGTAGGTGGATAACTTGTTCGATAATGTCTTGCAGGCCCACCTAACTGACGCATCACCCGTGTTTCTGACGTAAAGGACATCTGGTTAACCTCTCGACCTTCCTTTTCATCTCCATCTGTTTGTCGACTGAACAAGAGTGTCCACTAATGATAACATGAAGTGTGATCAACACACTCTTAGACAGTCAGACTTTCTCTAGGTGAAGCTCATTACCTGTAGATTAGGCTCATACATCATAACCACCTTTAGCCATTCTGATATACAAACTCCGCAGTTCATGCCAAAAAAAAATTTGAATCATATTCGAAAGAGTATGAATAGCGTGAGCCGCCATAAGTTTTTTAGGTCCAATGGGGGAACAGTCGAGAAATGCTAGTACGCCAATCAAACTCGCAATATTAGACCGCACGTTCATGAAGATGTGCAGTTGAATGGGCACTCTTCAAAGCAGACGAAAGGTGTGTTGATATGCAACGATCGGTAGGTTTTCTCAACTTACCGACACTTGAAGTCTGAAAGATTTTAACTATGAACCCCAGAACTTTAGCAACAGAAGTGTGAATTTTGCAGCGAGAAAGAAGACTCACGAAAGTTTCAGAAGCTTTGCTGTTGTTCTACAATAAACATCGTCTTTCAGTCATACACCGCAAAAATACCGGAAGAAAAAAATAAGAAGTGCATCATACTTGGCGTTGTGGCGTAACTGTGGTGGCTGGCTGGCTAGCTTCGTCTTGCTATAAGAAATATCCCTTGCCGTGTAGTGAAAAAGCTTCTCTCAGCGAAAAGTTTTGTGCTTTACATTCGTGCTTCGTCGCGTTTTCTAAAGATTATTTATACCCGCAAAATTGTTATCAGTGTAGAGCTGACCTGAAAAAAAAACGAAAACACGCCAGATAATTTAAGTCCACTGCTTATTGGCCCATGTCTGTTTATCCCTTTCCTATCCTCGAACTTCCCCGAAAACATTTATTGCCGTACAGTTCCGCCTACTGTGTGTTATCTAGAGGTGTAACGCGGAGAAGCATGTACATTTGCGCGGTGATCTGGTAATTCAGAGGGACGCAGAATATGACTTTGAAAGAAAGGTTTTACTTTCATGAACCATGTTGGCACTAGCGCTGTAGCGTTAAAAAGCTCGTTTCGGGGAAATTTTCGTGCCGTCGTCAGCGTTGGTGTTAGTGCCAAAGTTGGCGTCGGCATCGATGACAGCGTCACTAGTTGTGATGGAGCATAACGTTTCGCCACCAGAAGATAGACAACTATGCAAATAAATTGATTATTAAAACACTCTGACCGAGAATTGAGCCGATGCCGTCTGCTTGTAAAGCAGGTGCTCTAGCCACAGAGCCACGCTATTTCTTGCAACTGCTTCGAAAAAAAGAAAACACTATATGAATTTCCTGTAGTCCAGCCAGTCTCCTCACCTCCTGCAACATTGTGTGGCAGAGCCGTAGAATTGCAGCTGGGGTCAACACATCGTGATTTCTTGACAACCTGGTGTTAGCAAGGCTCGTTCATTACGAAGTGTTCTGACATCTTTAATTTTCACCATAACCAGCAGAAGCATTGGCAAACTGAACATCTGTCTAGGTTCACGTGTTTCCTTGCGGATGCGCCTTGGGCCCTTTCATGATTCACAATGGGTATAATTGTGGTGTAATCGGCGCTCAGCTATTCTTATTGAAGTTGGAATTCTAAAATAGCTTGGAACGTGTAATGTTACGCGGAAACTAACTCACTATTTTACGACAACAATGAGACATACACGTAAAATCGATAGGAATACGATTGAGAGGGTGATGTATACGAAGCCCGATTTCACTATTACGTTTTACAGTTGAAATTCTTGAAGGGCGTTTTCGCGCGCGTCCTCTAAATTGGATTGCGCAAAGTAGAAGAACCTAGTGCAGGGTAGGCAACCGGGCTTGCATTTGGTTGACCTCTCTGCCTTTCATTTCTTCCATTCCTCTTTCTCTTTCTAGACCTTAAGGCTCAGCTGAAGTGTTTCTTGAAGTTTGGTAGCCATCTATTGAACCTATGGGTTCCTACGTTTTTAAAAGAGCGAGGGCTCATCAATGGCTCTTTCACAACGGACTCGCAGCGCAGGCTCGTCAGAATGGTGCTGTATTTCATTTTGAACGTGCTGACCTCCCGTCTTGCTCTCTATGATATTTGATAGACCAGCTATTTGAGCACAGTATATATAATGTAAGTATTAGTTCGACTTCATCTTCCTCATCTGTCAATAACCATCATCATTCTTCGCTTGAGCCCTCTTCATTAACGGCGTCATCTTGCTCTTGCTTGAATAAAGCGCTAGCTTAACCGTGATATTTCGAGTGGTGGACGGTGCTTCCTGATCTCTTCGACCTCTCTCCATCCAAAGAGATGTCCCGAACGAAGCTCCTGGAGCTCCGTTCGGGACATCGTTTACGCCTTTACGCCAGCAGTTCACCATGGCGCAAAAGCAAGCCCAACCGAACCACCCGCCGGCCCAACCAGCCGCCGCCAACCCCAGCCCAGTCAACAACCCCCCTTGGGAGACTACAATTTTCTCCGGTCTACCTGGCGAATATGTCGAAGACTGACTCGACAACTATGACCGCGTAGGTGTCTACAACAACTGGAACGAGGCATTGAAATTAGCACGCATCCAGTTTTACGTCTGTCAGGTTACCAAGACATGGTTCCTAAACCATGAGAGCGACTTCCGCGATTGGTCTTCCTTCAGAGACTAGCTGCGACGTATTTTTGGCACACCGACCGACCATTCGGAAGTTGCTCGGAAGAAACTAGCATAACGCGTTCAACATTGTGGTAAGTCCTACACTTCTTACATTGAGTATGTGCTTGCACTTTGCCACCGTATGGACAACAGCATGCCAGAATCTGATCGTGTCTGACACCTTCTGAAGGGTATCGGACCGACCGCTTTCAACGCTCTCGTCGCGAACAACCCTTCGACGGTTTCCGACGTCGTCTTTGTATGCCAGCCGCTTGATACCTTGCAGTCAATCCGCCTACGACCCGAATTCTCTGAAAACCCCTTGGCAAACAGTATGGAGTTCCGATCCATCGTTCGAGCCAAAATTCGTGAGGAATTGCAAGGCTGCACTGTACCTTCCTCTAACAACGTTCCTGCTCAACCCGTCTCTAGCGAATGCGTGGCATTATTAGGGAAGAAGTGTCAGCATTTCAAAGCGCCCACCATGCTCCACCTAGCAACCCACCCGCTTTGTACGCACAGATCGCTGCAAGGCGACCCTCGCCGTCTCAAGTACCACGACCATCTCGCACCTCTAGTCACCCGTCCCCCAAACCCTACCTACTATTCTTCGTTGTGGGTCCGACGGCCTATTTGCTACTACTGTGGAATGCGAAGACACATTTTCCGGTTCTGCCGACGTCAGCAGCAAGATGAACGTTGCAAGATGAACTATGCACGACACATGTGCTCGAAGTTACTACCGTTATGCCGACAGTCCTTCCAACCACCGATCCGCGTCTCCTGCGCACATTTCCAACATGACCAACAATACACGTGCCTCCCGACGATGCTTCCCTTTGCCACTCCGACGCTCTGTTTCACCACTTCAGCCTGTCTCTCAACTGTCTTCCCAGTGATCGGAAAAATAAACAGTGCAGTTTTTTGGGGAAAACTGCATCTCGGCGAAATGACCCAAGTTCTCCTGAACGACCATTGAACTTGTTATTGGTGACTGTGCAAAGTGTGCGGGTGTTGTCTTTGTTGAACACGGGAGCAACTAATTCAACTATGCGTGCCGACTTGTGTTCTCGATTGCGGAAAGTGGAGACGCCCTACTTTGGATAATCTTTGATTGGGGCCCATGGAGCAATAATTAGACCATCGGCCCAATGTAGAGCACGTGTCTTAATTGCAGGTATTCGTCATCACCTTACCTTCGCTGTTTTAATTTTGTGTGCTCCTGAACTAATTTTAGGATGGGACTTTCTCTCATGAGCATCTGGGTTAATTGCTTGCCGTCAACGTGTAGTCCAGATGACGGAGACCGATCACTGCAGCGAACGCGTCGACGAGAAACCATTGCGTTTTTTTCATAGCTTCAGATTCCATACTGCTCCCGGGTCATAGCAACTCATCACCACCACTTCTCCGAAGATTGCCAATGGTGACATCCTTATCACCCCTTCAAGCCACTGTCTAGCTCGCGGCGTTGTACTCCCCTTCAGCCTGCTGCGGTTCAAAGACAGTGCTGCGATAATTCTTGGCCTGAACCCTACCCCCGAACCTGTCCTCCTACCCCAAGGTTCTGCAGTGTCGTGTTATATGGATACCGAACCGGTATCTTTGGTCTCTCTTGACGCCTTGCCAGCTCAGCCACAACAGGGCCAGTTTGCTACTTCCTCTTCCTTTGCTCCCGGGATTAATCCTGACCTTTCTGCTTCTGCACGTGAGGCGTTGCTAAATTTGCTAACGAAACACCAGGCCTCCTTCGACGCCCATGCTTCGGCACTAGGATAGACTACAGTTGCGCATCATCGCATCGACACTGAAGGTCAGACTGTTGTACACCGTCGCCCCTACCGAGTCTCCTTGGCAGAGCGCAAGATCATCGAGGAGAACGTGACTGATATGCTAAAAAGAAACATCATTCGATCCTCTATTATTTCATGGTCATCACCCGTTGTGTTGGTGCAAAAGAAAGATAGATCGGTACAATTTTGTGTTGATTACCACACGCTCAACAAGATTACCCGAGAGGATGTATATCCAATGTCCTGTATAGATGATGCACTTGACTCAATGCAATGCGTCCAATACTTCTCAACCCTTGACCTTCGGTCCGGATATTGGCAAATTCAAATAGACAAAACAGACAAAGGAAAGACCGCCTTTTCTTCGCCGGATAGTCTTTACTAGTAGAACGTAATGCTAATCGGCATATTTAATGCTCCCGCCACGTTTAAAAGAATGATCGATACTGTTCTTCGTGGCGTCAAGTGGAAAACTTCTCTATACTACCTTAGTGATATCATCATTTTTCTTCCACTTTTGCTGATCATCTGCAACGCCTAGATCAAGTGCTCACATGTCTCTCCAATGCTGGATTTTAACTAAACACTAAGAAATGCCATTTCGGCAACACAGCTATAAACGTTCTGGGACATCTCGTTAGTAAAGATGCCATCAAGTTAGATCCGGACAAAATTTCCTCAATCCTCAATTTTCCGCGCCCCTTTTGTTCCAAAGAACTACGCAGTTTCCTTGGACTCGCATCGTACTTTAACCGCTTTATTCGCAAGTTTGCCACAATTGCTGCTCCTTTCTACAAGCTCCTTGCTAGTACCGGTTTCTTCAATTGGAGTGATCATTGCGAAGCCTCATTTCGAGAAATCAAGCACGCACTGACATCTCCACCGGTGCTTTGTTATTTCGATGAAAAGGCACCTACGTTTTTACACACTGACGCTAGTGGACAAGGAATCGGGCTGTCCTCCTCCAGCGCGAACATGCTTTTCGCGAGAAAGCTGTCGCGTATGCAAGCCGCAATCTGACCTCTGCAGAGAGAGGTACTCGATAACCGAACAAGAATGCTTGGCTGTTGTCTGGTCCATCCAAACATTTCGTCCGTATCTACATGGTCGACATTTTACTGCTATGACAGACCACCATACTCTTTTCTGGTTATCCACAATCAAAAACTGATCGGGGCAACTTGGCCGCTGGATTCTACGGTTAAATAATATGACTTTGACGTCATCTACAAGACCAGAAGACAACACCAAGACGCCAACGCTTTGT